CCGAGGAGGAGATGGAAAGAGGAGGATGCTGCAGCTGGCTCTGGAAGCAGTTGCCATAGGGACAGTATCTCAGAGTGGCAGCTCGGGATTCATTTGCAATCCCGGCCTCTTCTCCTTCCCTTTTCTCCCGTTGGGCATCCCTGTCAGGAGCGTGATTCAGGAGCTCTGACAGGGTCAAATCCCACCTGCACCAGGGGAACATCGGGTGGGTGCAGGAGGAAAGCACTGGATGCTGGAGAACATCAGCATGGATGGGTGGATGGATGGATGGGTGGATGGATGGATGGATGGGTGGGTGGATGGGTGGATGGATGGATGGATGGATGGATGGATGGATGGATGGGAAACATGGTCAGACAGCTCCCCAAAAGCACTAAACCCTGATGAAAGTGAGGGGCTACACTGGTCCCCTGCTTGCCCCATAGGGTGGAAAAGCATCCCCTGACCCATCCCTGGGCAGGAAGAACCCTGCTCAAAGTCCCAGCCCTGCCCCTGCCATGTGGAATCAACCCATAACTGAAGCAGGAGCACACTGATAACGTATTTATGTGCTTTATTGTGGGTACCACAAGGAGCAGTTTCCTCCCCTCCTTGCCTGCCCCCTCAGTGCTGTTTCACTGACCACAGGATCCTTGCTCAGGGAAGCCATGGGTTGGTTTTGCTGCCTTTGCCACGGCCCCATCCCGAGCAGGGATTGAGTTTCCCGGACATCGCGGTCGCCGCTCGCCGGAGATTCCTTTGCTCGGTCCTTATAAGGAGCCAGAGCTTCCTCCGGGCGCTGCCCTGGATCCCCCTCTGCAGCCCGGTGATGGATTGTGCTGGGAAGACAGCTAAAGAGAGGAAAAGGGAAAGGGAGGGAAGCCGGGAGCATCGGGCGGGGGATTAGCAAGTGAAAAAGGGAGCGGGGGGCATGGAGGAATCACAGGCATGGATGTCAAGGAGTGTAATTGAAACCAGACTGGGACACTTGGACAGTTATGGGAACCAGGGGGGTTGGGAGTTTCAGGAATCAGAATCAGCATCATGGAACGGTTTCGGTTGAAGGGACCTTAAAGCTCCTCCAGCTCCAACCCCTTCCACAGGACACCTCCACTAGAGCAGGAGGCCCCACACCCCGTCCAGCCTGGCCCTGGGGATGCTGGATCCCTCCTACCCCCGAGCTGTGCCTTTGAGGTGCTCTGGGTCCCCCCCCGGCAGGTGCTCAGCAGTGATTTTGTGCCCTGTCCACACCTCGAGGGTGCCTGAGGCCAAACCCAGGCGAAATCTGTGCTCAGGACCCCCCAGACAGCACCGGGGTGGCCCCAGTCCGTGGAGTCCCTGAGCCCTTCAGTCCCCTCCACTGCAGTGCTGACAGCTCATCCTTCCCTCATCCACCTGCACCAGCATCACTGGCACCACCGGGATGCGTCCATCCTGGGGCTGTGGTTTGATCCTGACCCAGCGCTGGAACGGTGTCGTCTCCCGTCCCCAGCCGGGAGAGCAGCACCTGCATTGCTTGGTTTGGATGCTGTGGTCAAGCCAAACCCCATCCCCATGGGAATAACTGAGCCCCATCCCCATGGGAATAGCTGAGCCCCATCCCCATGGGAATAACTGAGCCCCATTCCCATGGGAATAACTGAGCCCCATCCCCATGGGAATAACTCCCCGCAGAACACAGACACTGCTTTCCCAGTGCACCCCCTCTGTCCCAGGCTGCATCCGAAGCACGGCGCAGGGAGGCTGAGCAGCCGCAAGGCTGGAGCACGGGCAAAGGGGGAGGTACCAGCAGCGGCCCCTCCCTGGCCCTCTGAAAGCGGGGCGCAGCTCTCCCTGGACGGGGAAACTCGGCCGCGGGTGGATGCGCAGCCGCTCGCTCGATGGCTTGAGCCGGAGCTGCTCTCCCCTTCCCTCCCTGCGAGCGCAAAGGGGAGGGTTTGGAGCTGGCAGAGGAGCCCGGCAGAGGATGGCAGCGAGGAGCGTGCCCTGCTGCGCAGGAGCCGACCTTGGCCTCCAGCCGTGAAAGCTTTTCGGTGCCTGAATCCCATTGATTGTAAGGAGAACCTGAGGGCCAAGGACCGCGGGAGCCTCGGCTTCCTGCTCGCTGGATGTGGCTCTTGCCAAGGGGCCCGGGGTGCAGGGCTCGAGCAGATGGTTCCCTCCTTCTTTTCCATTGAAGCAAGGCAAGAAATGTCCTGAAAGGTGCCCGAGTGCCACCCCAAGGAGAGCCCTGGCTGCTCCCTTGCTCCACGCAGCTTCTCTTCTCCAGGCGGAGCAGCCCCAGTGTTCTCAGCCTGGCTCCATACGGGAGCTGCTCCAGCCCCGGAGCATCCTCATGGACTTGCTCCAGCAGCTCCATGTCCTCACACTGAGGACCCCAGCCCTGCTCACAGTGCCCCAGGGGCGGTCCCACAACAGCTTCTCCCAGCACAACACAGGCAGGGCAAGGTCCCCTTTGCTTTCCCTGGAGCAGCCGGGCTCTGCCAGGCATCGGGCCCCATTCCCTGCTCCCAAACCAGTCCCAGCCATGGTCACGGTGCCCCTTTTGCTCCCGCCAGGCTTTTCCTTGAACCCCCTATTTCTGCTCTCAGGCCCGGCCATGAGGAGCCAGGGTGATGCTTTCCCATGGATAATGTGTTATTTATTCATTGGTATTTATAACTTCCCATTACGCTGACACTGCTTTGTTACCTGCGCTTTTCAGTAACATCAATACCAAGTTTGAGGGCAGGAGCACTGAGTGTTCAACTGGTGCCATTGCTGGGGCTCCGATGGGAGGAGAGGGGAAAAGCATCGCCTGGGTTTGCTCCATCACCTTTGGAAGAGCTCCAGGGGTGCTGCGTGCTCTGTGCTTCCTGCAATGCTTCCTCAAGCTGGAATTGAGCTTTTCCTAACTCAACCTTCCCTTTTTGGGGAGGAAATGCCAATGTGCTGCTGTATCTGCCCCAGGCGGTGCTGCTGATGGGGCGCCGGGAGCCCCTCGCTGCTGTGCCAGCCCCTGCAGCATCACCCGGGCACAGCAGAGTGGGACCAGCAGCAATGCCAAGACCCAGCTTTCATGGAATCCCGGCCTGGTTTGGGTTGGAAGGGGCCCAAGGAGGAGGGTGAGCGGCCACACCGGGGCACACGGAGCCGATCGCAGGGCGATGGAACTCTCGGTTGAGTTTAGGGGCTGCAATAGAGCAGAGCGCTGCCTCCTCCCAGCAGCAGCCTGAGGGATGCTCCCCCAGCAAGTAAAGCCCTGGAGCCTTTGCTTTTAATTGCGAGAGGTGACAGCAGACTTCCAAGAGGCTCTTTGTCATCCCGTGGAGCCGGGGAAGAGCTGCAACCTTTCTGGGACAGGAAAAGGGGAATGTAATGGAAAGCTCTCGCAAGTCCCTTCACCAAAGGAGCCGCAGAGGGTTAGGATGGGAGCAGAAGTTTCCACTTACCTCCCCTGGCCGCCAGCCCAGCCGCGTGCAGATGCAGCCCAGCTGAGCTGCCTGCATCCACCAGGACCGGGTTCTTCCCGGGATGGCTCCCACGGTGCCATCGAGAGCCGATGCTCGGGGATGGAGCCTCAGGGACCACTTGCGCCAAGCCCAGCGTCCGCAGCACGTGCATCCCGCGGAGCCGCATCCCAAAGCCCTGCAGGGATTGCCAAGGGAAGCAGCTGGGTTTGCCACTTGCAAAGGCAAATGAACGGCTGGAGACCCGAGCTGCTCCCCCCGCCGTGCCCGGCCCCGCCATATGTCTGCAGGCAGCTTTGCTCCGCTTCCATTCATCCCTGTGTTAAATGGAGAGCGGGATGCTTGGCTTGTCGCTTCCCTCCCTGCCCATCCGAGCTGCGGGTGGGCATCCCCTGCTCCACAGCTCATCCTGCTCCGTCCCCACCTGGTCCCAGCACGGCTTTCTGGCTGTCAAACCCATTGCCATGTGGCTCCCACATGTGTTCCCGTGTCTCCGTGCCGGAGAACAAACGGCAGCGCTGGCTTCGGTTTAATCCCATTGAAAGACAAGGCTGCAGACAAGGGACTTCCCTTAAAGCCCTTCCAGGCTGCCCGGAGGAGCAGTGAGAGCCGGCCAGGAGCAGCTCATGCTCCTCTGGAGGTCGATAATTTGCTTTCCAAGAGGAATTCCAGCTGAGCTCTGCACAGTCCCGGGCACTTGGATGTGACCTAAGGGGGGAGCTCAGAACTCTCGGGAGCTGTGGAGTTCCAATGGTCGCAGTGGTGGGAAACCTGGACGTGAGCATCACTATGGGGAATGCCAGCAGCACCTGCAGAGCCCGGAGGGGTGAGGAAATGAAGGACACGAGGCCAGATCCCCTGGGCAGGTGACAGAGGTGGTGAGTGAAGGTATCTCTCCCCCATCCCAGCTGCAGGAGCCACCCCAAGGGCCGGTGACGGCGCCTCTGGGCCATTTTCAGCTGCTCACCCTCACCAGCGCCACCAGAAAGCCCACTTCACCTTTCCAGTGAGCCCCACAAAGAGCATTGTGCTGCTGGCACATCAGGGTGAAGCTCCTCCAGCTCCAACCCCTGCCACGGGCTGGGACCCCTTCCACTGGAGCAGCTTGCTTCAAGCCCCTGTGTCCAACCTGGCCTTGAACACTGCCAGGGATGGGGCAGCCACAGCTTCTCTGGGCACCCTGTGCCAGCGCCTCAGCACCCTCACAGGGAAGAGCTTCTGCCTAAGAGCTCATCTCAGTCTCCCTCTGGCAGGTTCAAGCCATTCCCCTTGCCTGTCCCTCCATCCCGTCCAAAGCCCCCCTCCAGGTTTCCCGCAGGGATGGGGACAGATGGATCACCGGACGCGCAGAGCACAGGAGGGGGCATGGACACAGATGGACGGGCGTGAATAATTGAGGGGCTGGACAGAGGCCGAGCCCCCAGATCCCTTCGTGGGAGAGCAGCGGGGCTGGGGGGGGTCTGGTCTTTGTGTGCCGGTGGCGGACGCTGCTGACTCGGGCGCTCGCCGCGATGCTCCAGGGGCGGAGATGAGGAGGAGGAGGAGGAGGAGGAGGGGGAGGGACTTGCAGCGCTTTTCTGGCTGCCGCCGAGGCAGCGGGCGGCAGAGCGAGGGCAGCCGGGCCAAGCACCGGCTCTGGGGGGGTCACCGGCCCCGCCACCATGGCCGGGCTCCTGCTGCTGCCGCTGCTGCTGCTCCCGGCGGTGAGTGCGGGGCCGGGGGGAGTGGGCGGGGGCCGGGGGGATGCGGGGTCCCCGCGGGTCCCGCATGTACCGGGATGGAGAGAGCCGGGAGGGAGCGCGGCCACGGGGTCCCGGGGGTAACGGGCGGAGCGCGTCTGGGTGCGGAGGGAGAGCGCCCGGGGACGGAGTGAGCCGGCGATGGGGACCCCAGGGGTGGCTCGGGCCCCTCTGGTCCCGCTGCACCGCGCTGTCAGCCCTTTCACACAGGGAAAAAGGGTGGTAAGAGCCCGCAGGCAGGCAGCAAGGGGGGGGGGAAGCCGCCCACCCCCTGGTGCCTTCATCTCCTGCCATCCCGCATCCCCAAAGTCCCCCTGGACTTCCCCAGCTCCAAATTCGCTGCCCAAAGCGAAGGGCGAGCCCCTGGGATGGGCATAGGGAGCGCCGGGGACACAACTTCAGGGCATGGGGGCCAGGAGAGAGGAAAGAGCCCGGAGCCGGGTGGGCGCATGAGGATGGACCCAAGTACCCGGGGGGATGGGGGGGGTGGCTTTTGTTGGGGAAGGATTTGATGGGGTCCCAGAGGTCTCGTTCGGCAGCCGGACACCTTCCGGGCAGGATATTAAAGCCGGGGCTGTAGCAGTTTCGTGCAGAGACTGAGGAGAGCAGTGGTGTTTGAGGCTCCTGCCCCCGCACGGGCATGGGACCGGGCTGGCCCAGCTCCCCAGGGACATTTAGCGGCGATGGGCGGGGGGCAGGAAAGGCAGGAGCTGTCCCAGCCGTGTGGATTCAAGTGATCCCACCCCAGGGAATGACCCAACTCGGGCAGCCCCTGGCTTTGGTGTTCCCCGGCTCTCTGCAGCCACCTCCCCGGGTCAGAACCCGCTTCCTTGGGGCTGGATCCGTCCCCCCCCATTACAGCTGCCGGGGGTGCACGGGAGCAGCCCAGCCGCTCCCCCCAGCCCGCACCCGGGCAGGTCCAGATGTGCACCCGCCGCTGCGGCCGCCCCAAACCTCGGCAACCCAGTGCTCGTTGGGGGAGGCAGAGCCCCCGCAGTGCCCCCGTGCCCGGGGCTGGCCGGACCCGCCGGGCTCAGACGTGGCTTTTCGCTGCTGCCCGAAGTCTGGGGCTTGCTCGGAGCCGGGGTTTGGCCTCTCCCAGGTTTGGAGCTTCAGCCAAGAGAGGCAGAGCCCGTCTGCCAGGCTCGGGGGCAGTTCGGATCCAGGCTTGCCGCTGGGCCCGTCTCCAGCTGGAGCATCCCCTCCCTGCTCCCCTGCGAAGCGCTGTTCCGTGCCATGACTCTGGAGCGAACGGTGCCCAATTCCCACCTCGCTTCGCTTCCTCCGAGGCCACCTCCTCAGCCGGCAGCGCCTGTTCGGACACACAAACCCACCGACACGACTCCAAAAGCAATTAAAAGCTTACAGAGGTGTCGCCTGCACCTCCCATCCGTGCCCCCCTCCTTGGTCCAGCTGTCAAAATGCTTTATGGTGTTAATACCTGCGGCTTTGTCAACGGGAGTTGTGTTAATAACATGCACATTTCAGCGGGCTAATGCAGACCATGTGCCCCTCTTCTGAGTGTGTTAATCTTTATGGGGCTTTCAGTGCTCAAGAGGGAGAGCTGAAAGGGAAACGCAGGCAGAGCGGGGGGATGCAGCACCTGGGGCTGGAAGTTGTGTTTGCTACAGCATTTAGGAGCATTTGGGGGGCGGGGGGGCGGGAAGGCGCTGGCAGCGCCATGGGGAGGGGACCTGCGGCCACAGGGGTCTCTGGGGTCAGCTAATGGGGGCCCGGGTGTCACACAGAGGAAGCAACGCTGCTAGGTCCCATCCCCATGGGTGCAATGGAGCTGCCGGCAGCTGCCGGCAGCGTGGGAGAGCTGCTGCTGCCGGCCCAGCCTTCCCCAGCCGTATCTATAGCCGGCACATTCGGCTGCTCCCCCGGCTGCTGCTGCCCCAGCCGCGGGGAGGGGGAGTGGGGGTCAAACCGCGGCCCAAACAAGCCGGGGCTGGAGCAGCGGGAGGAGCTCCAGCAGCTCTGCTGGCCCCCAGCAGAGGGGTGCATCCAACCTGCTGCGAGCCAGCCCCTTCGGCACCCCAAACCCATGGCCCGGTATCATTCGGGCTGCCCGGAAGCCCCCCGCACACCGAGCCCTCCTTCTCTGCCAAGCTGGGGCCCGGTGCCAGCGCTGGCTGCCAGGCTGGGCAGGGAGGAGAGCACACGCTCTCTAGCGCAGGGTAATTGGAGCACTTTGTCATTCAGATGCCTATAATTGGCGCTCCATTGTCTCCGCCGGGCCGGATGCTGCCGGATGATGCGCAGCGAGCTCATAACGCCGCATTGTGCAGGGCTGACGAGGCATCCAGATGCACGGGGAGGGGGAGCTCCCCCGAGCGCCCGCTCAGTTCTTCCCCCACTCCCCAAATCAGGCTTAGTTGGATGCCAAAGGCATGGTCCGAGCCTGGACAAAGTGCGAGTAGAGGGTGCAAAAGGAGCCCTGGCAGAGGCTGGGTCACCCACGAGCATCTCGGCAGCCCTGCACTCAGGCAGAGATGCTTCGTGCACCACACAGCCATGGCCAAGAGGGGCTTTGGGGGGCAAGCATCCTGTAAATGCACCCCACTCCCCAGGCTGCAATGGGCATCTGCAGGTGGCCCTGACCCCATGGCTCGTGGCACATTTATTGCTTCCATATGTTACAGCAGGTTTGGGAAGCAGATACACTTACTTCCATTAGACAGTAACGTTGCTGAAGCTCTCGGTGCTCCCTTCAAAGTCTTCATTCCATCGGGGGGGCTGAGTTCTGGTCCTTATGTGCAGCAAGAGCCGCCCAAGGTCTCCAAACCCTTCACTGCTGCAGGGGCTGTAGGCAGTGCCCTGCCTTCCCCCAGGCTGGCAGGGGCTGAGCCCTGCAGGACGGCAAAGCAGCCTTAAAGAGAGGAACAAACAATGCTGTAGCCATGCAGAAAAGGCCTTATTCCCCCTCCCAAAATACCTGCCTATGGTGGCATGGGCTTTCCTGAGCTCCCTCCGGCGCTAGAGCTGGGCAGAGCTGAGCAGGTTCCACACAGGGAAGTCGTTTCTGTGTTTAACGGGAGCTCCCTTTGCCCCTCACTTGGGATATCCCCCAAAGCCTGGATGAGGGCCCCTTCTCCGCCTGCCCCTGCAGGGAAGGTCCCACCCAGAGGTCACCTCCTGGCTCTGTTCGCTCCGGCAGGGACCCGCCTGGGCTCCAAGGAGAGGTGCTTCACCAAGATGTACACCGCGAGCGGGGAGTGCTGCAGAGCCTGCAACCTGGGCGAAGGGGTGGTGCAGCCCTGCGGGGTCAACCAGACCGTCTGCGAGCCCTGCCTGGACAGTGAGTACCTGCTCCCCTCCGCATGGAGCCGCAGGGGGGCCGGCACCGGGGCCACGGCTACTCGGGTCTCCCCAAGCGCACCCGCCTTCCCTCCTGGAAGGGAGGCTCTACCCTGCACTTCCCATCTCTACACGGGCACCAGGCTTACCCCTAGCATTTCCCCAAAGCATCTGCCCTGCTCATCCCAGCTTTCCTCGTTTTGGGACCTGTTGGTCCCAGGCACCTTTCCAAATCCCCCTTCCAGCTCCTCTCTCCTCCTGAGGGCTCCCAGCCCAAGTTGCGTTGTCCTCCCCACTCTGCGCTGGTCCCGCATCCATCCATGGGATGCCTCTCACTGAGCCACCTGTGTTATTTCCCCTTTTAAAGCCTTGAAAGGCTGCAACCTAAATTTTAAGTTTGAGAGAGAAGCAGCAAATCACAAAGATCCCCCAGAGAGAAGGGAACAGTTTTCTCCTGGCCAGCTCCAGGCACATTGCCTGTATCAAATGCTTCATAAATGTCAGTTGGAGATGTGTGCTGGAGACCTGCTTAAATGCTTACAGATGAAGTGGTCCAGCTATTACTGTTTAAACAATGCCATGATAGGTATAAGCAATCTGCCCTTCACATTTACTGCTGCAAAGCCTTTGAAGGCCTAAGGACAAGTATTTGGGAGGGAAAGCAAAGCCCAGATTGTGCTGGGGATGTGATTTGGGAGGGGGAATGGACAGAGCGTGGCTTGGGCAGAGCAAAGAGGAGGCAAAGTGCAGGGAGGAGCAGAATAAGCAGAGCAGTGTCAGGGCAGTGCTAAAAATACCTCTGCTTTCCTGCACAATCGATGAGCAGAGCTCACTTCCCTGTGCTGGCTGCAGGATGAATCCCACCGGCCGCAGGCTCCGGGATGCTCCAAGGATAATGCTGTGGTACATGGTGGGATCCCTCCTGGGCTGCAGCAGGCTCCAACCCCTCCATCCATCCACTGTGCTGTCCATCCCCATGAGCCCTTCCTATAGGAAGCCTGTCAGGGCTGGAAAGCCAGGGAGTCACTTTGCATCCCTAGGGATGCTCAAAAGAGCCCACTTCCCATCAGCAGCACTTCCAGCCTGGCACATGGCTTGTTTCCCCAGTTTCTTTCTGGGAACTGAGGGGATAAAGGGAATGTCTACCCTCCATGAGGACATGGATGGACCAGGACCATGACCTGGGTGCCATCTGGAAGCCCATGGATGCAGATACAAGTGCCACTGCTCTGGCTTGCATCCCAGCTCCATGTTGCCCCAGGCCAGGCACTTGCACTTTTGCAGGTGGGGTAACATCAGGCAGCAGCTCTGTTGGGTCAGGAGCTGAGCTGGAAAGCACCAGGACAAAAGGCTCTGGTCCCTCCCTCCATCCCTGCAGGAAGGAGGGCAGATGGGAGCAAACTGCAGCCGTGAGACCTCCCAGCATCGCACACAGACAGAGAGCAGAGCCCAGGGCTTCATTATCCTGCTTAGCTCTGCTGCTGCTGAACCAGCAAGGCCGAGTGCTGCGGGCAGCTGCCAGTCCCCCTCTCCATGCCTCGGTTTCCCCCACACCCCTTCACCTGCATCCCACAACCCTGCCACCATGGAGCACCTCTGTGGGATCGCCCTCACTTACCTGCACAGCAGAGGGGGCTCACCCCGGGGCAGCATCTGGCCTCCATCACCCTAGAAAGAAACAGCACCCAGTAGGGAGCCAAACCCACTTAGAGAAAGGGAGCAGCAGAGAGGCTGGGAAGCCCCAGGCTGAGTTATCCCCCCCCTCCCGCAAACCCTCCTGCTTTATCCCCCCGCCCTGCCCCAGCTGCAGGCTCCCGGAGTTATTAATGCAGTGTGGATTAATCCCAGCGCTGGGAGCTGCTGGGTGCGGGTGCCCATGGGGTGACTCACGGGTGCGTGTGCTGCAGGAAGGAGAACGCTCCCCGAGCTCCCCTCTGGGCCGAGAGTGGGGTTTTGGGGTGGGAAGAGGGGGAAACCTGCGGACCCCATCATCGGTCCCTGCTGGGATGGGGACGGGGTCTCCTGGCCCTGGGGCTGTGCTGGATGCTGCGGGCGCTGGGCAGGCGCAGACGGCCCCTGCCTTGGCAAAGCCTCCCCTGCCTGCCAGGCGTGAGCCAGGGAGGAATGTGGGCATCCCCGCCCGCACCTCGGGCTGCCTCCGAGCTCTCCCGCTGGATCCCTTCCAATTCAGCAGCCAAAGAGTCGAGCAAAACCCTGCTATCCCCGAAGCACTGCCAGAGCCAAAGGCTCGGGTGGCCGGAGGGGACGGTCCCTGCAGGAGCCCGCTGGCCACTTGCTTCAGTTGATGGTCTCTGCCCTCCCCTTGCCAGCCAGCCCTGACGGCTGCCTCATGATTTATTGACGCCTTCGCCAGCCTCCATCGCTGCGGGTGGGAGGGAGGGAGCGAGGGGGCCCTGCTGGAATCTCGGCTGTAATTGCTCGGCTCAGATACCTCGGCTGCCACGGAAAATGTGCCCACTCAGCTCCGGGCCTTTCCTGGCCACTTCCCTGCTCTAATGGTGCTATCAATAATTCACAGTAATGCAAAGGCTGAGCTCAGGTTAATGGGAGCAGAGCGTGTCCTGGTGCTGCTCTGGCTCTGCTCGCTCCGTTGTGCCGTGGGGCAGGCAGCGAGGCAGGGGCTGGTGGAGCATCCCAAGGCAGGGACCCCTTCCCACTGGAGCAGCTTGCTCCAAGCCCCTGTGTCCAACCTGGCCTTGAACACTGCCAGGGATGGGGCAGCCACAGCTTCTCTGGGCACCCTGTGCCAGTGCCTCAGCACCCTCACAGGGAAGAGCTTCTGCCTCAGAGCTCATCTCCGTCTCCCCTCTGGCAGGTTCAAGCCATTCCCCTTGTCCTGTCCCTGCATCCCTTGTCCCAAGCCCTCTCCAGCTTTCCTGCAGCCCCTTGAGGCACTGGAGCTGCTCTGAGGTCTCCCCTTCAGGAGCCTTCTCTTCTCCTCTGGCCTGGAGGAGGAGGAAAAGGCACAAACCCATCTCCGTGGCCCGGCACCATCTGGGATGGGACGCAGCCACTGCCAGGACCGAAGTGGCTGCAGGGATGGGGATGCGGTGCTGGGCCCGCGCTCACCTCCCGCTCCGCTCCCTGCCAGGCGTCACCTACTCGGACACGGTGAGCGCCACGGAGCCGTGCAAGCCCTGCACGCAGTGCGTGGGGCTGCAGAGCATGTCCGCGCCCTGCGTGGAGTCGGACGACGCCGTGTGCCGCTGCGCCTACGGCTACTTCCAGGACGAGGCGAGCGGGAGCTGCCGGGAATGCCGCGTGTGCGAGGTGGGCTTCGGCCTCATGTTCCCCTGCAAGGACTCGCAGGACACGGTGTGCGAGGAGTGTCCCGAGGGCACCTTTCTCCAGTGAAGCCAACTTCGTGGACCCCTGCCTGCCCTGCACGACCTGCGAGGAGAATGAGGTGATGGTGAAGGAGTGCACGGCCGTCTCGGATGCCGAATGCAGAGGTAACGCCGCCTTTCCCACGGCAGAGGGCAAAGCAGGGCTCACCGGGGCTTCTGCCTCAGTTTCCCTTTGCACCACAGCCATGGGGGACACAGGGTTCGAAGGGAGGACCCCAGTGTCTCGCTGAGATTCCAGCCCTCTGACATCGCAGCGTGGATGCAATCCCTCCTACCAAGGCAGCGCTTACCAGAGCCGTTTCCCTTGCAAATGCCCACCCCCAGGGTCTGCCCAGCCCTCCCCGGGGTATTCCTTGGCTGGGCTCCCGGCAGGACGCTGCTGCTGCAGGTGCAGGCGCTCTGCCGGGCGGCTTTTGGTGCCCGGGAGCAGTGAATGGGGCCGAGAAGTTCGCCAATCCCAGAGGCTATGCTCAGCGCTCCTTGAGCCTTCATAGGAGGGAACTTGGGTTTCCAATGGGAATGAGCTGCCCTGAAGCGCTGGGGAAACCGGGAACAGCCCGGGAGGGGTTCGGTGCCCAGGGGAAGGGGCAGAGCATCCCCCCAGCACCCCGGGCTGCTCCTTGGCAGCCGCAGCGCCGTTCCCAGCCGCATTGAAAAGCGCTTTGTCCCGGGCGCCGCTGGTGCCCAGCGCGGGGGCAGCCGGAGCGGCTCCCTCGGGAGGGTCGAGTAAATGGAGGCACAAGTCAAGGAGCACAGGGCCAGCTTTGTGAGCTGGCAGCGGGGCCCTGCGGCAGCGGCCGGCCGGCCACCGCAGCGCCGTTCCCAAAGGGCAGCGGGGCCTGGCTGCGGGCCACGGCGGGGAGGGCAGGATGCCACCATGGCACCCGCTCCATCCCGCGCAGGGCAAGCCCTTGGAGAGGGGTTTGGGAAGGAGCCAGCGCCCAGGGAGGGGTTTCCCCAGGGCAAGACGAGACGTGTCCACTCGCTGCCTGGGTGCGGTGGGAATGGGTCACTCCCAAGTGGGGCTGGGACTGGGGGGGGGCTGCAGGCTGGGGCTGGAAAGGGGCAAATCCGGGCTCTGGAACTTCTGGGTTGCCTTGCACAAGTCCTGGTGCAGGTGGGAGATGAGGGGGAGGCAGCTGGGGCTGATGCTTGGGGCCTTGGTACCAGCAATGGGAGTCCAGGGCTCAACGTGCAGGCTGCATGGGGTGGGAAGAGCTGCAGGGCTTGAGCAAACCCAGTGCTGGACGAAGCAGAGCTCACAAAGCCATGGCCATGACCAGGCACCACCACTCAGGGCAGGGGACAGCTTCCACTTGTCCTGGGGACAATGTCTGGGGACAAGGGGATGGGCAGAGCTGGCACCTCCACAAGCCCCACGGCCTTTGGAGAAGGTCCATGCTGCACGGCTGATCTCCTCTTCTCTTCTCTTCTCTTCTCTTCTCTTCTCTTCTCTTCTCTTCTCTTCTCTTCTCTTCTCTTCTCTTCTCTTCTCTTCTCTTCTCTTCTCTTCTCTTCTCTTTTCTCTTCTCTTCTCTTCTCTCTTCTGTCTTCTCCTCTCTTCTTTTTCTCTTCTCTCTTTTCTCCTCCTCTCCTCTCCTCTCCTCTCCTCTCCTCTCCTCTCCTCTCCTCTCCTCTCCTCTCCTCTCTCTCCTCTCCTCTCCTCTCCTCTCCTCTCCTCTCCTCTCCTCTCCTCTCCTCTCCTCTCCTCTCCTCTCTCTTCTTCCCTGCAGACCTGCACCCGCGCTGGACAACGCACACCCCATCCTAGCAGGCTCCGACAGCCCTGAGCCCATCACCAGGACCCCTTCAACACCGAGGTGGTGCCCAGCACCCTGGCAGACACTGTCACCACCATCATGGGCAGCTCACAGCCCTGTCCTGAGCCGAGGCACCGCCGACAACCTCATCCCCGTCTACTGCTCCATCCTGGCAGCCGTGGTGGTGGGGCTGGTGGCTTACATCGCTTTCCAAAAGGTAGAGGAGCAAGGCAGCACCGTGGGGCCCTGGCAGAGGAGTTAGGTGGGGGGAACGGGCTGTGCCCCCCTCTGCAGCCAGAGATGTGGCCAAAGCAGAGGGAGGTGACCAGGCTGGGGGGTAGGAGGTGGGCTTCCAATCAGGCAGTTGAGGGGTGAAAGAGGGAGATGGCAGCAGAGTGGGGGCGCAGGGAGGGGAGCCCTCATTGCATCCTGCCCCTGTCAGGCCCCTGCACGCTGCGGCGGCCGTCATGGCCCATCAGCATCAGCAGCGCATCCCTGGGCAAGCCGGGGCTGGTCCAGCGGCTCCCCGGGGGCTGGAGACACCCCAAAGGTCCCACAGGCAGCCCCACGCTCTGGCAGCGCAGCTGCATTCTTGCAGCAGATCCGTGCAGAAGGAGCCCTGCCCTGGTCCCCTGCAAAGCTCAGCGCCCTCAGACTGATTTGAACTGATCCCAGCCCCACTGAGCTGCGGGAGGAGCGCTTCTCCCTGCGCCGAGCCAGCAAAGGGGCTCCGAGCCGTGGGCCCTGCCCCTGTCACCTCCCGCTGCCCTCCTGCAGGTGGAACAACTGCAAACAGAACAAGCAAGGGGCCAACAACCGCCCCGTGAACCAGACGCCTTCGCCCGAGGGGGAGAAGCTGCACAGCGACAGCGGGATCTCGGTGGACAGCCAGAGCCTGCACGACCAGCAGCCGCCCAGCCAGAGCACCCAGGGGCCAGGTAGGGCGAACTGGGTGCTGCGGGGTGGGCGAGGGACCCCTGGGACGGGCTTAATGCTGCTGCGCTGACTGGATGAAGGGCTCGGGGTGTTGGCTGGTGGGAAGCTCAGTGTGACCCAGCAACGTGCACTTACAGCCCAGAGCCTGCACCGTGCTCACCCCGGAGCGTGAGCAGCAGTTAAAGGGAGGAGATGGAACCAGAGGACCTTTAAGGTCTCTTCCAACCCAAACCATTCTGCGATCCTCCTCCCCTCGTGCGCTCTGGGGAGACCTCAGAGCAGCTCCAGTGCCTACAGGGGGCTTTGGACAAGGGACGGAGGGGCAGGACAAGGGGGGCTGAGATGGGACCTTCCAACCCAAACCATTCCGTCCCGCTGTGCCTCGCCCTCCCCAGCGCCCAAGGGAGACGGGAGCCTCTACGCCAGCCTCCCCCCCGGCAAGCAGGAGGAGGTGGAGAAGCTGCTGGGCAGCTCGGCGGAGGAGACGTGGCGGCAGCTGGCGGCGGAGCTGGGCTACAGGGAGGACCTCATAGACTCCTTCACGCGGGAGGAGTGCCCGGCCCGGGCCCTCCTGGCTCACTGGTCCTCCAGGGACACGGCCACGCTGGACGCGCTGCTCGCGGCCCTGCGCAAGATCCAGCGCGGGGACATCGCCGAGAGCCTCCACAGCGACTCCACCGCCACCTCCCCCGTCTGAAGGGCGGCCCGGGGGCGGCCCCGCGGGGTCCCCTTCCCCCTTCCCCCCCGCGCCTCTCCCCTCCCCGGCACCCGGCGCCCCGGAGGGGAGGGTGGGAAGGAAGCGGGGGCTCCCGGGCCCCCCCAGCTCCCAGCCCTCTATGCACTGAGCTCCTGTTTCCGGTATCGCCCCCTCCCGACGCCGCCTGCCCCCGGCAGCCCCTGAGCGGTTGGATGCGGGGCTCAGTCCTGCTCAGCGCCCGCAGTCCCTCTGCCCCAGAGCATCCTCTGCAGCCCGGCGAGGCTGCGCAGGCACGGGAACCTCTTCTCTGCCCCCTTCAGACCCTTCCCCTTCCTCCCTGAGGCTCCAGCTCTTCTCTTCCTCCAGCCCTTCCTCCTTGTCCCACCCCACCGCTACCCCCTGCTCCTCCCCAGCACCCTGAAATCCAGCTGCTTTCCCAAACCACAGGGCTGGGATGAGCACAGGAGAACTGGAGCTGCTGTACCAGGATTTGGGAAGGGGTCTGGTCCTGTGACACCAAGGTGGGGGCGCTGGGGGAAAGGACTTGGCTTCCAGCAGCCCAGCCTACACTGTGAAATGTGGGGGGCACGGCTCCATGGGTCTGCCATTGAGCTCCACTCACGCTCCATTTGAGGAGCAGCCGGCAGCATCCCAACACTGAGGTGCCAGCACCACCTCTCCTCAGAGCTGGAGCTCCATGGGGAGGACATTGAAGGGCTGAAAAAGTGCCTGCCCGCAGCGGGGACGTGACAAAGGGCTCTGCTCATCCTCACCCCTTCGCTGCATCAAGCCAGGAGCAAAGCCACCCCTGCTGCCGTTGCACTGCCCCTTCTCGCCCACAGACACAGCTTGAAAGGGCTCCTTCTCCTCCAGCACTGTGAAGGGTGGCTCAGAAACACCCCCGCCTGCTCCCCTGGGTGCCCTTTGCCTCTACTCGGGTGCTGCCCATCCTCGGTGCACCCCCGCCTCTCCGTGGCACCCATGGGTGCTGCCACTGTGGTCCTGGGGAATGTTCCCACCGCAGCTTCTCACTTGCCTGAAGCATCACGAGCCTTTTGCAGAGGAAGGATGAGCCGGTGCTGGCTCCATCTGCATCCATGGACTCCCCCTTCGCCTCCGGGATCAGCAGAAGCTCTTTCCTGGAGGCAGGAGGTGCCTTTCCTCCCCTTCCCTAGGGAGATAAGCAAGATGTGTAAATAATATCATGTCCTTTTACTATGTACTCGATGTTTGTGTGTGATGCGGGGTGATGGCCCTGCCCCGGCCCCTCCTCTTCCTCACAGCCTGCGGAGCTCTCGCTTTACAGCCCAAGCCTTCAGTCCCACCTTGTTTCTTGGCCTTAAAGACTCAATGGGGAGGCAGGAAAACACCTGCACATCCCGAACCCACGGCAGCAGGTCCAGGAGGAACTTGGGAAAGTGGAAGGATTTGTTCCCAGCGGAGCTGCTGGGTGTCAGGAGGGACAGCTCAGTGCTTCCAGAGGGATCAGAGCCTGCGTCAATAGGATTTGAGTGCCCAGATCTTTCCAGAGCTTTTGGGAATTCTGCCTGTGCTTTGGATGCTAAAGCAGCACAGGCTGAATCTGGATCTTCAGGATGAGGTATTTGACACCTCCTGCTCTCGTGCAGCAAAAGAGCAACGATCCCTTTGGATGAACAGCAACGATCCCTTTGGATGAACAGCAACGATCCCTTTGGATGAACAGCAAAGATCCCTTTGGATGAACAGCAACGATCCCTTTGGATGAACAGCAACGATCCCTTTGGATGAACAGCAATGATCCCTTTGGATGAACAGCAACGATCCCTTTGGATGAACAGCAATGATCCCTTTGGATGAACAGCAACGATCCCTTTGGATGAACCCCTGCGACACTTTGGCTGCTGGCTGCCCGTGTCAAACCCCTTGGTTAGAAACACTTGGATCCCAGCAGGGCTGCGAGTCCCAGGTACAAATCCTGAACCTCTCCCATCACTGAAATCCAAGGAAACCCGAATTCCCCCCCCAACTTGCAGTGGGTGCCTCCGGCTTTCAAACCTGCTGCTGGGGCGCCGGCTCCTACCGGGCCAAGCCATCTGCAGGGATGCTTTCGGGATGCTCTGGTTGTCATCAGGTTGTTTCCATTGGTCCCTTGTTTTGGGGAAGTGACTCAAACACAGGCTAAGGGTGACTGGAATAAAAGTGCCCAGATCAAAAGCAAAGCCATGGGCCCGCTTCAGCCTCAGAAGCCAAACCCGGCCCTACCTTTGCCAGCTGGAATTTGCTTTCCTTCAGGACAATCTTGCCACGGTCTCAGGTCTCAGTTGCCATAAGGGAATTCCTCAGGGCTGAGGAAACGGAGACAAACTCAGCAGCCAAAGAGAAGCCGGGGGCTGCCTTGAGTCCCTGGCTGCAGGAATCAGCGTATTGAGGAAAAGCAAGGAGGGAAAACCCAAGCCAAAGTTCGTGCTCGTCGGTTCGTTGTGTGTCCTTTTCTAACGCTTCTGTTGTACAAAGAACGTGTGTTTCTCCACTCACCCCTGTGTAATTCCAGTTGGATTTAGTAGGAAGTTTTCTGGTGAAGAAATAGCCATTGTAGAAGGGTTTTGGGGGGGTTTGTTGGGGGGGTGTGAGCAGCATGAGATGGGGGGGTGATGCACGGGGGTGATGCACGGGGGGTAGCTGTCCTTGTGTATCTGTCGGATGCCAATAAAGAGCATCACTACATTGGTGTCCTGCTTGGTTTTTCCACCTCCTGGTTTCCTCAAGAACTGAGGTTTGGGAATTGATAGATGGAGAATCCACGGTTCGGGAATCCACTAAAATGGCCCCAAAGCCTTCAAGGGTGGTGGGATTTTTTCCTTCTTTCTTCCCCATTCTCCCTTTCTAATCTTATAAACAGCAGGAATGTAAAGTTGGATCTTATCTCGTGGAGGAGGATTTCTTGGGAGCGCACAGAGGAGACTCGGACCTCAGCCAGGAACATTGGGAGCGACTCATCCAGCCTTGTAGAGCAGCTCACTGCTGTGCTCTGCCCCGCTCCCAATCCAGGAAAGACCTTGGGCAGTGGGGAAAACCCCAGGAAAAGAGGGAACCTTCCTCCTCCTCCAAGTTGCTTCATAGAAGGGGATTAAAAGGCTCAAGTCCCTTACTTTGATTGCTGCTTTGAGCACAAGGCACCTGTTTCTGTTCCTGGTGCTGTTCTCAGTGATGCCCTTGGCACCACAAAGGGTAGGATCAGCCTCATGCCCTCCAGACCCAGGGAGGTTCATTGAGGTGAGGGTGTTCAAGGCCAGGTTGGATGGGGCTTGGAGCACCCTGCTCCAGTGGAAGGTGTCCCTGCCTGTGGCAGGGTTGGAGCTGGATGAGCTTTAAGGTCCCTTAAATCCCTAAGTCTGGGATTCCCCCAAACAAGAGGTTGGCTCTTGCTCCAAGGAGCTTCCAACAGCTCCTATAGGGGGGTGCATGTCCCCAGGAAACATGGGACACATGGGCACGGGCAGCTGGAACCTCGCAGGGCTGGTGCTGGAGCTGCTTTGCTCAGGGTTGTGCGTGGGTTTGCACCCAGAAGTATTTACACATCACAGTTTCTAAGAGCTTGAAATAGGATGCTCAGCTGTAGCCGGGTTTATTTTTGTCTGGCCCCGGTTGCTCTCCAGCAGGAAACATAATGAGGACCAGGACTGCACACACATAAGGAGCATTCCCTTTCCTTCTTTTCCAGGCTCCCCCACGGTGTTGCAGATAAACAAGGGAAAATAATTGCAATCAATCCATTAGGTTTAATCTGTTTCCTCTTAATCCCCAGCCTCCCCTGGGAAAGAGGCTGGAATAGAGAAGAGGAGCAGAGCCGGGCAGTGAGAGTGAGCTGAAGGATTCCTGCCTGCAAGGCCTGGGAAGGGAGCCTGGAGCAGGCGGGACCTGGAGGGGGCAACGAGCATCCCCTCCCTGCATTGCCCTCCCTGCAGCCCTGGCTGAAGCTGTGCTGGGGGGAGAGGGAGAGAAGGAGCTTTTTGAGGTGGCCTTCATGTGCGGGACCAGCTGCATTCGATGATCCCTGGGGACAGGAACCTGATTTATGGTTAGTGCAGGAGATGGGAGGAGAGTGGGAAGAAAGGGAAAGAAAAGGAAGGAAAGAAAGGGAAGGAAAGGAAAGGGCACTAAGACCTGGAAAGGAGCCTGCTGTTTGCCCTGGCTGGTGAGCAGGGCTGGGGAAAAGGCCCTGGAAAACCTCCTTACCCTCCTTTATGGGTGCCTGTGGAGGGGGAGCCCGGCCCCCTGCTTAATACCGCATCTGCTGTAAGGAGCTCTGGGGGGCTCCCCCCAGGCTGGGGCTGGCTTGGGGGGTGATGGAAGATGCCGGGGCAGCACCGTATGGACCCGTGCTGGGTCCACGCCAGCTCTGAGCACCCGCAGCAGAGAGCCCTGTGCTGCGCCGCACTCAGCATCCCCTGGTCCCACAGAACCTCACCAGCGGGAAGAAACCCTCGCAGCAAAATCCCACCAAGAGGCTTTCGGTTCAGCTCCGGGCCCCTGCGGGAAACCGGGACCTTCCCTTTGCAGAGGGACAAAGATGGGAACCGAAAGCTGAGCTCCAGCGGGGCTCACGGCGCCCAGCTGCAGCTGACAGGCGCTAATCTCACCTGTATTTCTTCCCCGTCCACCTGCCTGCCGCCAGCAGCAAGCCCAGCGAGTTCCCCCAGCAGCTCAGCGCGGAGCCGGGGCTGCAGCCGGCCCAGAGCCTTCGGGGATGCTTCGTTCCCTGCCCCAGGACCAGCCCCGCGGTACCTGCGCTGCGCAGGGCGCACGGGTCAGCGCCAGCATCAGCGGCTCCAGCCCCTCCCTTTGCACCCCCAGGCAAAAATCTGCCTCCCATATGTTGGCGAGAGCCACATTCCCAGATAATGGGAAGCAGGTCGGCGGGAAAGCCGGGAATGCCTCGGCCATGGCTGTGTGCCGGTGCTGGGCACAGCTCGTGCCCTGCGAGTGCAGGGGCTGCTCGGCTGCTGGGATCAAGGTGGGAGCTAAAGGGGGATCCTTCCTCCCTTAACCTCCTGCTAGATCTGTGCCTGAAGCTTTTCCAGCCCCAAAGCAAGGTGCTGGTTTAACCCACCACCACATCCCTATTGACCTCAGGCTCAGGGAGGTGGGAAGGTCCCTGCATCTCAGGGTGTCCCCCCCACCCCATTCAATACATCAAAGAGCTCTTACATCTTACCTGGGAAAGGGACAGCACTGCCACCACCAGCAAGAACAGGCAGCAAAGGGAAGGCAAAGCCCTGCCCTTCCCCTTCTTCTTCTGCCCAAATTCCACCCCCTGATGGTTCTGCTTTGCTGCAGCTGGGTGCAAACCAGGAGAGGTGCTGATAGGGCTTTACTTTAATGGATGTGGCCTTCCTGGAGGGAGCAGGGAGAGGTTAAACAGCCCCAGATGGATGTGTCTGGGAGAAGACAGGAAGGGAGACAGCGTCAGAGGGGCTTGAGTGGCCAGGGCAAGGCAGTGAATCCCCCCAGGTACGTGCGGGTCCTGTTGAACCATCTCAGTGCACAGGGCATAAACACAGGGGCATAGGGAGTAGAAGATGCTGCCCAAATCATGCTGGGAAAACC